CAGATAGAGCAGGTGAAGTACAGGCCTACCTGTGGGGTGGTATACAGGGCACTGACACCACTGGTGCAGCAGCTCTCCTCTCAGCTAAGATCTTTCTGGCTCTTTTCATCTTCAGCCTGGATTTGGCCTTTGCCCTCTTCACCCGCTCAGAGCTCCAGCCCTTAGAGTCATCATCATGGCCGATGCTAGGCTCGTCATCTTCCTCCAGCTCGCCCTCGCTGTTGGATGACCCCATGCTGGCCCCACCGACTCCTCCTAAAGGACGTGCTGAACCGGGGGGCGTGTGGATGTCACAGTATGCCGTCTTGCGTACGCTGAAAGAGGTACCGTTGGCCCCAGTCTCTCTTACAGGCTCCATTTTCATATAGAGGCCTGCCTGCTGGGCACAGGTGACATGGAAAGCTGTGTAACAGTTGGCTTTGTGACACTGGATGCAGGCGCCCGAGCCACGCTGTTTGCAGATGTAGCAGGTGAGCTTCCAGCGTGCAGGAGGGATGTGCTCGATGCTATCGATCGGCTCCAGAAAGACTGTGTTCGCAAAGCAGACCTGCAGAAAGGCAGGAGAATTTGTAAACATCATCACAGTTAAATAAAGTAAAAAAAACAAAACAAAACCCAAGACTGACTGAGCATGCTTCACTGTACATCAACTGAGACAGTATTTATCTGGCTGTTACGTTTAACATTCCCACAGTCTTTAACTGTGTAATATCAATAATAATTATGAACTTCTTCTTCTTCTTTTTTTTTACATATCCCTTTTAAAATCAGAGTTTAGAAAATGACAGCTAGACTGACGTCAACTCAGACTGATGTTGCACAAAATAATTACAATAGACAGTAAATTAATAATAGTAAATATCGCTGAAATATAAAAGGAAAGGCAACACAGATAAACAATCTTTATCTCCTCTGCCAGGTTGTTCTAAAGCCAAGGGGCTTTGATGGCAAACAGCATGAGCACCTTTAAATTTAAGTTTCTAGGATCTAAGGCTGTGAACTGGCTCAGATGAGTTGAGCTTATTCAGTTTGTCGATATCTGCATAATGATGTCGTTCCAAATCAAACATATATGGATTTACCTCTGGGATCCAGAGGGCGCACACTACGTGGGCCCAGCGTGCGTCGTCTGTCTGCTTGAAAGCACCTCCTTTGTTCGGGCACAGAGCACAGTCCACAGCTCTGCTCGGCGACTGCAGGCACCGGCGACATAACCACTGGCCCTCCGGGATATAGGGAACGCCATAGCACTCCTGGTGTACTGCCAAATTACACATGTCGCAAAACAAAATCACGTTGCTGTTCTGACACTCTCCATCATTACAGATGCAGCAGACGGCATCTTCATCAATCAAGGTACTGGGGTCCGCCTGAGAGAAAGGAGCACAAGGACACATTACAGATGAAAGCATTTATGTCAAGTTTGAACCATCGTCTCCTTCTTTTGTCTGATTAAAGTACCTTATTGTGACTCTCAAAGTATGACTCCTTCTCTAAGCGGTCCATGAGATACTCAAAAACCTCCTGAGGGATGGGTGTCACACCGTCACGCCGCCGCTTGTCGTTCATGATATCAAGCCAGATGTAGTCCTCCTCATCGATGTCATACTCTACCTCCTCATCTAGCTCCTCCACAGATTTATCAATGTACCTAGAGTAAAAAAAAGAAAGACAGAAGAGTCAAATTAAGACGTATTCATGCAAAGAATACTTAGCGTGCAAAAAAATATAATTCATTATGGTGCCAATTGTAATTCAGTGTAAAGACAAAAATAATGACGGAAAAGTATGAATCTGAAGCACAGTAATCAGTATTTCCCTGCTAATAAAGTGGAGACTGGCTGGACTGTATCAAACATTTAGGTCAGGAAATATTTATTGTATTTTATACATTATTTTATATATATATATCCACTCAAACAACTCACTACCAACTGCTTTTGCTTTAAAATGGATGTTCCTCTCAACAATCCTGCTTATAATACATATGAATTAAATGACTACATTTATTTGCAGACCTGTAGTATGATAATGGCCGAGGTGGGGCATCAGGTCGGTCTTGGTCGAGTTCTCTGAACACAGCCTCCGGTAGCTTGACTGCAGGACCAGACTGAGCGCTGTGATGATGAGATAAGCCATCCTTCTTCTTGGCTTTGCTCTTATGTTTCCCAGTCTTTGGTGTGGATTTTCCCCCATTAGAAGATGGGATATCTGAGCGGTCCTTGCCACTCCCTCCTAACTCGCTGCCCCCGGCTCCACCGTCACTACCATTACACATGCCGCCACCACTACTACCAGTTCCAGATGGAGGAGTGTCTTCTGCATCACTGTCTTCATCTGACACCACATCTATATTTTCGAAGATGCTAATGCGGTGAATGCGCCCTTGAATCTCCACCTCCACCATGCGCTGTGCCTGGGCGTAGGTCATGGTCTCTCTCCCCGGGGAATGGGAGCGTTCCGATCGGTTGGGGCTAACAGGCGTGTTCCCTCCATGACCCAGTCCTCCTCCTCCGTTACCCCCGCCATCATCCGTATCCCCTGAACCAGTCAGCGAGGCACGAGGAGGACGTCCCTTCCTCTTCTTCTGAGGCACAGCCTGGGCAGGAGTTGGGTTGTCATGGTCATAGTGGTAAAGGTGATACTCAATGCCACTGTAGCTTTTGTAGACCTTACGGCAAGTCTCCACGGGACACTCATAAGGGGGCTTAGTGGCCCGCAGGTTGTGGCAGAATGTCTTCACGTCAAAGTCCAGCCCCATTGTGCCAACAGCCACTGCTGGGACAGATGGTGTTCAAGTTTACATCTGAAACACATGAGCACAACGGGGAACAATGATATTTGTTAAAAACAACGCACATAACAGATACTGGGCACTGTCTCCCAAGAGTTGCCTTAAAGAACCCCAGACACCAACGAAATGCACCTGTTATGGTGCAATCACGTGACCACTGCTGGTAGCAAACAAATTATGATCTGTTATTCAGTAACAGGTGCACTAAGTTCATCGTGTTTGCTATGATCATTGAGAACTACAATCATGTAATACAAGCAGCAAACAGTAACGGCAACAGCTACAGCTGGGCAGCTGTAAACCCAAGCTCATTTGCGGTTCTTAACGAAAGAACTCAACCTTTATCTCGTTCGAACCCTTCCACCCTCTACCTCCTAAGCTAACCAACGAACTTTGTGTATTTTAACACAGCTAACGTTAGCATTAGCATTTTGCTGCTGCATTCCCCCCAAAACAAAGCTGCAGTTAGCTTGCTGGCTAACAGCAGCTAGCAAACAACAACACTGGCCACTACGTAAACAAGCACAGTTCAAGAGAATAACCCTACAGCACATGAAGTAACCTTACAAACTAGCCACGCTAGTCGCCATTATTATTAAATACTGTTCTTATTTTTTATTGTAACCTTTGCTCGGTATTTCATTCAAGCTCAGTAACGTTTAAATAGAGTGCCAAACTGTAGTTGTGTCCCCTGGGCAAACGCTAGCCTCGCAAATCAAACCATTACAGCGCATTCCAGTATAGTTAATATTAAAACAAATAAAACACACATGAATGTTTGGGGCTATACACACCGCAGCCTGGCCGTTCAGACCCCAGTGTTTCCCTCCACAATGACCTCACCCTGTGAATTTCTGAGGCAAAATGACAGCCTGGCTTCCTGAAGAGCATGTGTGGAGGCTTTATCAAACTAAGGTCCATCAAAAGCGTTCCTTCTCCTCCTTTAAGCCAAAATATCAGCGAAATCGTTTTCTCTGTAACGAGAAACAGCCAGACATGATTAGTTTTTTCCGCAGTAGGGCTAACACCAAGGTCTGTTCATGTTGTCGGAGTACGGTGGGTTACTATGGATAACACCAATTACTGTAAAAATACACACACAGTCATCTAGTGTGATCTTTTTTAGCCAAACATGGCCCTTTTCGCCATTTAAAGCTAATACTTCTGATCTAACGTTATAAACACTTACTACTCCACGTTCCTCGAGACCTGCGTGCTTCGGAAACCTCACAGCAGCGGTTGTTGTAGATTGATTTTTAATTCATTAAATAATCCCAGCAGAGCTCAGAAGAGGCGTAGGTACAGAAAAAAAATGTTTTCATGAAACCATATAATAGCCAAAGAATTTCATTGTGTTGGGAATAATTCAGGAACTCGGTTGAACAAAAGGGGCAACCATTACTGTAACGCTACGACACAGATGCGGGTCGACAGATTCGCCACACAAAGCGGGGTCTTATTTCTCCACTTTCTTTCCTGACTGTAGCCTGTTAGAACATATTGAGTGAGATTTTGTAATATAATTAACTTAATCTATTTAAAGGGTTTGTTAAAGTATTTATTTTCCTTGCCAGGGTTTGTACTGTATGTTGCGAATCTGTGGCGTCTGTTCAAAGACGTCGAGGGTGTGAAAACTCGAGCCTCACAGAAACACCTCCTGTCCGTCGTAAAAATATAATAATATAATTCTGAGTATTTATAAATTTAAATAATAAAAATGAAAACTCTCACTCCAAGCTACTTACAAAAAGTAAACAAATTATTTATGAAATACACGGAAGACACTAAAAATGCAAATAACAACGAGACATGCTATCAAGCATAAAATATTTATTTCTCTCTCAACATACAGTCTGTGATAAGAGTGCAGCAGGATAGGGTGGGGTAATGCAGTGGGACATACAGCAGGCAAAAAGCAATCCCACAGTTTGAATACAAGCCTTTGACAACCAGTGCATATTCACCAGGGGGCAATGTTGTCCACAGAAGAGCGAGATGAGCAGAGGGAGAAGGTGTCAGAGCTGCTTTCCCCTCTGTGTGTATCAGCTCTTCATTTCATCAGTGCATCCAAATGAATATGCCATAGAGTTGTTCCCTTCTCTGCTCTCCAGTAAGTTAGCAGCGAGGGAGGTGGAACAAAACATACCAGATACAAATGACAGAGAACAGAAATCTCTTACTACTGGAAGTATTTCACCAAAGCAGAAGACTCTGCATAATATCCTATAAAAGTCCAATTCAAACCGAATTGATGGAATAATATACTTCAAAGCAACCCCTCCTCCTCATCCAATACCACCACCACCATCAATATCATTTTCATCCAAAAACAACAAAAAAAAAAACCAAAAACAAAAACAGAAAAACAAAATGTACAAAACAAGAAAACTGTACAATTCACAGCTTGGCAAGATTGGTGGTGCTGAAATCTTTCAAATGTGCTGTGGAGATGTGAAATTTCTAACCATAATAGCAATAACTGTTAAGCTTTGTGGAACATGAAAAGTTGGCCATGCTCGTCGGTGATATAAAAGTACAGATGGGTGAAACCCACTTATATACAGTGTAGGAACTCTTTTAACGCAGAATAAAAGGAGAATATGTGTTGTGCAAATCTCCCACATCGAGTGTCGTTTGCATTTTGAAATATATCGCTGGAAAGAAACTGGAAAACAGAGCAGACATCAAAAGCAACGTGTGAAATGAACACATCAAAATTTCAACAAGGCAATAACACTGCTTTATGAGTGTCCCATTTGTTAATCTGAGGAGTCTTATTTTTTTAGTGCCATTGTATGTGAACAGAAAGCCTAACTACACAGTAGGATCACCTTAACAAATGATAGCAGCATCACCAAAAAAAAGAAAAAGAAAAGAAAAGCATCAAACATCAAATAGGTTGAAAACATCAGAGCTAACTTGTGATTTCACAGAACATTTTACATACAGTGTAGGCTGAGTACTAGCAAAGTTGAAAGAACATTTACTGGAAGTGAATTCAGTTTGCTGCGTGGATTGTAATCTTTATACTTTGCCCGGTAACTTCTGTCTTCTGTCTGGTGCTTGGTGATTTGCGACGTTTGTTCAACTTTTTAGCTTGCTCCTGTTGCACACATTAGAGATAAGGCTTGTGGCAAGGCCACGATCAAAGCTTTGTTGAGGGGTTTAAATTGCACTTTTGAGCCTCAAGCCTTCACATAGTAATCGCTACATTCTGATCAGAACACTTCCGGAGGCATATACTGTAGAAAGAACTATGTACAGTATGTATGGCTCTGGACACCGCCTTTCCTTTGAGCACAAAGCTATAACACTGCCAGCTCTTGTGCTGTCAAATGTATCAGCTGTCCTATCAAAAAGAGGCTGTGTCCTGCTGAACCATTTTGACCTGAATGAGTGGATTTTGGCTGCTGGCATATTTTTTTTCTCCCTTCCCTCATCAGTCGTACATTAACCGTTTGTTTCTGAAAGGCATCGGTACGTCTCACCGCTATGGCATTCCATCTGTCACAGGGGTGGAAAGTAAACAAGAGTTAAAACACGATTCTGTTATTTAAATAAAACTACATACTGTGATGACAGTGCAGTAACAGAAGGGCATTCATATGTAAACCAAAAAAAAATAAAAAATAAAAATTGCAATGTATTAAAAACTCAAGACTGCATTCAAGCTACATTAAAATAATATATCTTGGATGCAGACTTGTGGTTTTTTTTCTTTTTTCCAAGAAGAAAAAAAAATATATAAATTAATGTTCAAGGCACTACATTCTTTCCAATAGATTCATCATACTGTCCTATTATTGTATCTCAAACCACTGGTATTTGGATTCCAATGTAGTGTTTAAAGTGTACTTAACCCAGAAAGGCAAAAGCAACAAGAAAATTGCAGAATTGAAGAATAAAATGAAATATGGATGTTGTGACCACACATAAAATGACTAGTATGGCTGAGTCATGACTAAAGCCAAAAAAGTATTCAAACATACTTACTTAACATGTACTGTATAATATACACACATATCTACACTCACACACACACAATTTACTACAGATTAGTGTTGCATGAAGAATCAACACTTTTCTCATGGTATTTACATGATGGGATTATGTACATGTGTTGCTCTGAACAGAGCAGAGTGGAGCTGGACTGTCTTGCAAATACACACTAATAAATTTTGGTAAGCAGATTAAGTAGTCCTTGTGGTTTTTGGACACGGGCCATTCTCGGGGCTGTGGATAACCAGAGGGTAAGCTTGAATCTGTGGGTTTGCCATTGTGCCATAGGGCATCATTCTTGCTGCACCAAGCAAGCCTACAGGGACCACAGACCCTACAGGACTGGGCAAGCTGGGCCATCTCTGAGGATAAAGAGGACCGGGAACCATCCCAGCATAGGAGCCTGCGGGAACGAGGTAACCAGGAGAGGGCGCTGTGGATGAGTTTGACGATAGGGTTGCAGGTATACGAGGGCCTAAAGCAGCAGTCAGGGGGCATGAAAGAGGCAGCTGGAACTTGCCGGGACCGTTATGACATTTCATCTGGAACAGAGGGGACAAAATATGTGCACAGACTCAGGCTGACTCATGCTTACATTAAGAATGATGAAGTACAGCTCCTAAACTCTCAGTCACTCTCTGTTCCAAATACCTCACGAGTAACTGCTCCCATCGGTGCTGCACCGCCTTCCAGGTCTTGCCGACGCCTCTGCTGTTTCATCTGGTTCAGGGAAGGTCGTGCTTGACTGGCCGCTGCTACAGTTTCCTTTGTCCAGTCATCAACCAGTTTGTGAAGATCATCAGTAAACGTGCCTCTCTTGTTGTTGCTGTTGTTGGTCTGGACCTGAGCGAGACGTGTGAATGGCTGAGGAGAAGGTGAGGATGTTGCTGCAGAGAGTGATGGCTGAGTCTGACTGGAGGCTGTTTGAGCAGTGGTGGTGTTGAGAGAGGACCCTGAAAAGACACAAAGGTCTTAAAATCGGCCTAGTTAAAAAACAAAACAAACAAACAAACAAACAAAAAACAAAAAAAAAAAACAGCTGTCAAATCAATTGGCTGCTGTATGGCAGAATTAAGGACAGTTTCACAAAAAAATCCAAAAAAACCCTGTAATGTCACCTTTCATGAAAGCCACGTTTAAATAATCCTCATCATTCTGGCGAGGCTAGAGCAAAATGAGTGTACAGGTAAAGTTGTGACACATATTTTGCCAGCAGCCAAAGGATTACAACATACATGTCTTTCATGAACAATTAAATAAAAATGAAATGTTTGATATGCAAGCAGTGACAAAATCCAGCAACCAAGACATGTAGGCACACTGCCATGCAAAACATGAAACAAATTAATGCAACAATCTGTTGAGTACCCACGTTTAAACAACGGAGACATTTTCAAGTGCCAAATTAATTTCAGAGAAAAAAAGGACTAAAATAGTGAGGACGAATAGAAAAGACAGAGAGTAAGAAAGTAAATGAGATAGTTACTACTACTGCGTTCTTTGCCTAGACATAGTCGTTTCAGAGTGGACCCTATAAAAAGGTAAAACAGCACAAGACAGAAACAGTTAGGCCAGGACACACTGCACACCACAAGTAGGTGGACAAGCTGCTTCAAAAGCACATTCAGCTATCAAAACAACTGAGGAGAGAGAAAGAGGAAAAGGAGGAAGAGGGGTGTAAAAATCAGTGAGGACTAGAGGAGCAAATCTAGGTGTTCTCTTTAATATCATTTGAAGAGCTGATTTTTAGAAAGTGTACAAGCCTAAAAGAAATCACAACTTGCCTTTACGTGTCATGTTGCATGTTTGTTCCTGCACATTTATTGAACTTTTCATGATTATATTTAATATGGAATATATCAAAAATATTGGACAGAAATTTGGAAAAATGCAGCTACTGTCGTATAAATTTGTACTTTTTGTTTGATCATTGGAATAACGGATGATTTACTGTTTCATTAACTGGTAGGGAGAAACTACAAAATGTGTAACATTGTGTTTTCTGAGAAAGAATATTGGAGCCTGGATTTAAAGGGAAGCAAAATGATCCCTTTGTCGATGTGAGAATGCCTGTGAAACAAAATATGAAACCAAAACAAATAAAATTTAACCAACTGAAAGCACACAGATACAAGCTGGAACTCGTCAGAGTCAGCAATTAAAAAGAAAAAACCAAAAATCCAAACATGCAGGTAACTCAGGAGAGGTGAAAGAACAAAACCATAGTAATATTGATGATACAGCCCTTCATATGGCGGAGCAAGTCTCCATCAGTGCCCTGCCTGGCGCCTGCACCATGCACGTCTTCTCCATCCAAACATGAGGGACAGAGAGAGCTTTCCTCAATCAAAGCATAGGGCCCTGCCTATTAGGGAAGGGTTGGGTTTTTTTCTCCGTGTTAGTATACACAGGATGGCAGACTTAGTGCCTCGACTCGTCTGTATGTGTGTGTGTGGGAGGGGGTGTTACACAATCAAAATTAACCGTGGATGGAAACACACAACAAATAAATAGGGTATAAAGAGTTTGCCATTCTCTCTCAGATGCACACACACATACACAAACACACTCACACCATCTTGTATTAGGCCCATGTTTGGACAGGACTAGGCATTCACAAGCTCCAGCGTGCTTGTGGGGTCTATTTTTGAATGCCAGAAGCACTGCACAAAGCAACTGTATGAAGAGCAGGGGGCAATATATTTAAAAATTAATAATTATGAATGTAACTGCAGTTCTGTGAATTATGGATGATTGCCAGAGGAAAGACTGTAAACTGACATAGGTACCTACAACATTAAAGTTATTGCAGCCTGGATTTTGAATATAAGAGGCAGCACACCCTAGAAATGTTTCCTTTTCAATCTTAAGGTCAACTGGATGCAATCTGGGTCCTCAGGGACACTGAATTCATAGAAATATAGCTACTCTTTGTTCTACTTCCTTTCTCCCACCGACTAAATACAGATCACAGTACAGCACTGGGTTGGTAAGATGGTTGATAACAATTACATGTTGTTTCACAGCTCTCTTTCTATCTGGGAAATATCCCTCTGTGCAAATGAAACACTGGAAAAACTGACTGCATAGAAATTACGCTCTACTTCAGTGCACAGAAATTATTTTCAGCAACTTGAACCTGCAGATCTCAACACCCACACAAAGAGCCACACGTCTGAGTCATGCTGCACTTCTTCAGAAAAATATAATCAAAAAAGGCTTTAATTCAAGCTGAAAATATACAACACAGCCAGGAAAGAAAGGTCACCCTGCACGAATGAATGAATTGAAATGTCTTTATATTTTTCTCTGAGATCCCCCAGAGTCAGGTAATTCCCATTTCTATATATAGCTGCTGTAATCAAGTCACTTTAATTAAATCACTGTCTTCAAGTAAACTAAATCACAGAAGAAGAGTGATTTTATAATGCTAGTAGTAGATTTTGCTTAGTAAATACATTTTAACTCAGGGGTGATTGTGTTTTAAATTATATTGCAGACAATAAGGGTTTTATTAGAAGAAGCCATAAATGCTGACTTACAAACACAAAAAAGTCTAGAAAACAGCAGAGACTGTATCTATCTGTAAATGTCACACTTTTGTACCAATTACAAGCTTTAAAAGTACGGTGCCGGCCAGTGCTACAGCTCAGCCTCCTAGTAGATGCACATATGGCATAAGTTTAAAACTAGCTCATTTTTGAGCTATTGTGCTCACAAACTTGGATGTCCATACCACCCACCAGGTTTGACGATGTCAGTCTTTTATGGCTGAGGGGTAAAAACCCTAACACATTCGCAGACTTTCAGCAAAGTCACATGCTATAAAACAAACAGTACACAGAGTGACCTGTAGGGCTGTTCGATATAACGATATATATCGGATGACCATATAAAAACGTCTATCGTTTCATTTTACGCTATCGTTTGTTTCGTTGTGTCGCAAAATAAACTGTTTATGGCAATATTTTTTCTCCGTTTTGATGGTCACTGTAGTGGCTATATTAATTTCTTAAAGTTCTCCCTTTCTCTTATATTTAATATAACCACACTATGGATGGACAAGCGCCTGTTTTTATGCGTTGTGGTTAGCAACAACGACGGTAACAACATCGCGCGTCCGCTTGTTTATGTACCACATAAACCTTTCACAATAAAGCTCAAGATCCTGTTGAGACTTTTCAAAATAAACTGAATCACGTGAAAGAGCAGATTATTTACGGATGAGAAGTAAAAAAGAGCCGCCAGGTGCTAAAAAATAAACCTTAGACTCAAACGTTAGAACAGGCTTTTCCCCGCAGCACGCCGTGTAATAAATACTCACAAAGAAAACAGCGGCTGGTAAAACTTATGTCTAAAAATGTATCGTTTCATGCATCGGTTAAAACACTCGACTCCAGCTACATGACGCGCAGCTGGAAACACTTCCCGCAAGTAGAGCTGCCCGAGATTCACAGAATTTACCGAAAATGTTACATTTTTGTGATTTATATCGTTATCGGACGATAGAATTCTTATATCGGGATATGAGATTTTGGTCATATCGCACAGCCCTATTGACCTGCTTCACTGTATGTTTTATGGCAAGAAACATTTCATGGCTGCACAAACCTTTCATCTGTATTAGCCAGATATATCCAATTTTAAGTTTATCACAACAGTATTATGTGTCAATATATATCATCTGTTTTTTTGTTCCGGCCAACAAAATAAATAAAAGAAATTAGAAAATATACAGAAAACAAGTTTTAAAGTTGTTGAGAAGTGTGGGTGGTAGGAATAAACAATGGGTGTATGTCTGGTGAGAAGACCTGCAGGGATGGTGAAATAAAATATCCACTATATTCCATACAAATAAAAAATTGTTTGATAGGAGAGAGAGGCAGATAAATAAAGAGAATATGGAAATGAGTGAGGGGAAATATAAAAGAACAAATACAAACAGATGGACAGAGACACAGGTCCACTGAGGAATCTAGTGCGTGGTTTGCTACTAGATTTATAGGTGACTCTCTCTGACGTTTGGTGGTAAACCGTCCAGCCTGCAAAAATGAATATAAGAGGGAAGAAGAGAAGAAACAAGAAAGACACTATGTAAAAGTGCACAGAGACTGGGATGAGAAATCCCCACCATTAAAAGCACCAGAAAAGGACAGTTTAGGAGAGCATGATATGCAGGATCCAACCATAGTATCTGGTGATGAATGAGACTATTTTGACTCTCTGATGATAATTCAAACTGGCTGCCTATATCTGCACTCCTCAAAACACTTAAGGGAACACTCAATCATCACAGTGTAACACAAAGTCAATTAAACTTCAGAGATATCAGTCTGTCCAGTTAGGAAACAAACCATTGTGAATCCATTTTACCTGTTTTGGTGTAAATGAAATTTTGGCTCTGCAGTAGCAGGTGCCAAGATGATGGTCACAGACCAGTGCTCTCTCCTGGCTGATTTTTCTCTGCTTTGCTTTTTGCTAGTGTCTTTGTCAGTGCTGGGAGTAATTCCAGCCAATTTGAGTTGCACACGTGGTTCCTCCAGGACAGTATATCTATATGTGCTGTCACAAGAAGGTTTGGTGTGTCTCCAGGACAGTCTCAAGGAAGTACCAAGAGTTGAGACATTACACAACAAGAGCTGGACATGGCTGCAAAAGGGTTTCACCCCAGCTGCAGAACCTGTATCTGCTCCTTTGTGAAAGGAGGACCTTGAGGAGCACTGCCAGAGCTCAACAAAATGACCTTTAGCATTCTACTCATGCTCATATTTCTGACCAAAGTGCCAGAAACAGACTCCATGAAGGTGCCATGAACGGCCACCATCCTTCAGGGAGACCTGTGCTCACAAACCAGAACTCAGGTGAATGCCAGTCAAACTGCTAAGAACACCAGAACTGGCGTCCCATTCTCTTTACAAATGAGAGCAGCTTCACACAGACAACATGTAGCGGATGTGAAAGACACAAGCAACGGCCCATTCTCGTGGTATGGGAGACACAGCCAACCTTTTTGAAAAAATAAATATGGATAGTGCCATCCTGGAGGAGCTGGACTCCCTGTGCACCTTTTCACGTACCAGCAATGATAAGGGCACTAGCAAAAAGCTAAATAAGGAAAATAATCAGAGAGGAATAGGGATGGGTATTGATAAGATTTTCACGATTCCGATTCCATTTTCGATTCTGTTTAACGATTCGATTCTTTATCGATTCTCTTATCGATTCTTTTTAAAAAAGGAGAACACTAAGGTTGATTAGCTTAGAACTTTGTGTTATATCTTCTCTTTGAACAAGATAGAAATTTAGAAGTAACATGGCCTTACAAACCCAACAGTGACATCTTAAGAGATCCACAGCCTACGGCTCTTCAATGGGGTGTCACAGGGTCCCCAGGAAAAACATTTGTAAATGTAAAATAATAAAATAAACATTCTTCTGTAGCAATAACAAAGTATAACATACATTATTTTGTAGCAATTACACAAGAATATCCAGTAATGTCCCTGCCTACAATTAAACACATTCACTTACCGAAAATCGGGGGCATCTGCTGTGGCAAATGGGTGCAAACCTTTTACCACAAACTTAGGC